GAGAGGGACATGGATGTATGAAAGCAATTTCTACTGTGATCCGCCAAAAACCATGAAAATACCTACATATATTTACCTTACCGCTTTAGCATAAAGGTAGTCCGCATAAAGGGAGTCCGTGGACTGAAAAGTAGAATTTGAAGCCAGAAGAACCTATTCGGGGATACACTTTTCCGCTTAGTCGAAGATGAAATACATTTCGAATTTACAATTCTTCTCCAGACACACACTGACGAGACGAAAAGCAGATTCAATGCAAATGTCTGAATACTAATTTTGTCTGGTTGGTTTGATGGAAAGTGCTAATGATTTATTGCTTCAAGATAAAGCGTGCTTTCCTGGAATCAAAATTATCAATAAAACCTCACTTACATTTTCCATTGTTCAAAGAATTTAGGTTTATATTTGGATGAAGATATCAGGTTCCAGGAGCATGTTAGCCATGTGTGTAGGTCTGGTTATCTCAAAGACCTTTATATACAAATAAAAATATATTGAATAGAAAAACTAAGAAAATGTGAGTCTTTGATATTGAGTAAAATTGCTTACTGCATCATTGTTTATTATCCCGAAATAACAAAATACAGGCTGCAAAAAATTCAAAATACATGTTTTCGCTATATAAAAAATTTAAGAAAGCACGATCACGTTTTTCATTTAATAGCTTCCATGAATTGGTTGTAAATATCTGATATACTGAGTGACAAAGAAAGGTAAATGTTTATCCGATTTTAATAATTTTTGGCTTATATACTAAGTGACATATAAATCCGAACACCCAGTTTAAATGGTTTTATTTTAATAAAAGTTGTTGAATGTATTTATCTTACTGTAAATAACAAGTGAAAAAATTTTCGATCTTATCAGTTGGACATTCCGGTTTTTATACTGCTTTTTTTTAATTCACTAACGCTCTAAAAATGAATATTTCAGCCGCAGTAAAGAATCAACGTTGGCGGATTTTGGTTCTTGACATCCTTTACGATCGGTTACGATGCCTAGAATACGGAGACCTGTACGATTTCATCAACTTAGTGAGTTTGATAGTTTTGCTTGTTTTCATACCGGCCACACTGGGTCCTCCCTTTAACTCGAGAACACCGACGTAATCGCCTGGAGTGGTGCAGACAACGGTCACTCTGGGATCAAGAATGGAACAGTATTGTCTTTAGTGACGAGTCTCGATTTTGTTTAGGCATGCACCATGGTCGTGCCAGGGTTAGAAGGCGACGTGGTGAAAGGAGGAATCCACAGTTTTTTGTTGAAAGACATGTTCATCACACTGTTGGAGTTATGGTTTGGGGTGCTATAGCTTATGGTTCCAGGTCACCTTTAATCTTCATCAGAGGTAACATGAACGCGCAGCGTTATATCCACGAAGTTCTAGAACCCCATCTCTTACCCTATCTTGACACCCTGGCAGATCCAACTTTCCAACAAGATAATGCCCGACCACATGTTGCAAGAGTCACAATAGACTTCTTTCAACATAATGATGTCACATTGTTACCATGGCCACCAAGATCTCCTGACTTATCCCCAATTGAGCACGTGTGCTCAATTTGCAACGTCCTCCTCAGACTCTAGAAGCATTTCGAGAGGAGTTGGTGGTTGCCTGGAATGAGATACCACAGGAGGACATTGACCACCTGATCAGAAGCATGCCTAGGCGCGTTGGAGAATGCGTAGCACATCAGGGTGCATCCACACATTATTAAAGGTCAAAGGGCTTTAAAGCAGTGCAATCATTTTGAAATTTTTATCATTTACTCATTATGCTTCATTAAGTACTTATACAAAATTTTATTAAAATAAAACCATTTAAACTGGGTGTTCGGATTTATATGTCACTTAGTATATGTTCAGTGTCCCTTACTAGTAAAATGATTAAATTTTCAGATTGATTCGTCAACTGACTGCAGAAGCTGGTTCAATAATGTTTTGAGGATCCACGATTTCTTATACATGCATCGACACGCCTGGGCATCGTGCTGATAAGGTGGTCGATATTCTGTTGGGGTATCTCATTCCAGGCTACTGCAACTTCGTGAGTAAGAGCTGCTAAAGTCTGTGGAGGATGTTGCAAATTCAAGAGCCTGCGAGCTATCATGTCCAAGATATGTTCAATTGGAGATAGGCCGGGCGATCGTAGTGGCCAAGGTAAAAGTTGATGCGATGTTGATCCATGAAGGCTAACGATGCTCTGGCAACATGCGATCTGGCATTGTCTCTCTGGTTTAGGTATGGAATAGGATGAGGCTCCACTACTTCCTGAGTATAGCGTCGGGCTGTCATATTGCCTCTGATAAAAATTAATGGCGATCTGCTACCATAAGCAATAGGACCCCATACCATAACTCCCACGGTGTGGTGAACGTGACGCCCTCTGTCAAATTGGGGGTCACGACTTTCACCACGACGCCTTCTCACTCTTGCCCGACCATTGTGCATCCCCAGACAGAAGCGGAATTCGTCACTACAAAACCACCTGATTCCATTTCCGGCCCCATAGAGTTATTTCTCTACACCAAAAGCAAACGGTCACGCCGATGTTCAGGTGTGAGAGGCAGCACCCAAGTCTAATAAACATATGTGTACATAGGTGTTTACCTTTTTCTGTAACTCAGTATATGTACAAATACGATGGTGTCACATTTGTCATCAAAATATTAAAAACCTCTGTTCCCGTTTATCGTAGGCAATAGCTTTGTTTATAGGAATTTGATTCACAATACGAATACGCCCAACAACCATCACCTCACAATGTGACAATACAAGACAGCGTTATTCCAATGCCCTTTCACGTACAATGCGGTGAAGTTGCTTAATTTAATTTGACCAAAACCTTATTAGCAACCGTTCTAAAAAGAACCCTGTAAGGGTCTGTTTATTAAATGCTTAATAGTTTTTTCTCTCTCCAGTTTATATACAGGGTGGTGTATCGAAAACCAAACAGACGCATTTACTGGTAGCTCAGTTTTTTTTTGAAAACCGTTCAGACCCGCCGATTTTGTTTTCGAGGGGGACACAAGTTTGGCAAAAAATCACGCTAACACGTGCAGCCCCCTGGGCGGGGGTGACACCAACCCTAATATCTTAAATGGAAAGAGGGGTCGAGTAATACCTTATTTTGAAGGTCTTCAATTTCCCTTTATAATGATGTAAAATACATGAGCTTCAGTTCATTAGTTTTGAAGATTTATTGATTTAAAGCTTAAAGCAGACTTTAACAGGTACATCAAATTAGTTTGTACTACTTTCAGAAGAAATTTGACTAAAAGAATTTACTTAATAAGTAAATGCTTTTCTTCACTACGTCCATGGTTTGTTTATCATTTTGTTGTTGAAAATAGCTATTGGAGCGTTTTTTTGTGGCAAAAAAGTTATTTCTTGAAGAAAGATAAGGAAATATCTCGTACTTATTTTAAATAGGAATTTAGTACATAGTTTGTGATTGATTTGACCAAACTTTGTTGCTAAAATAACTTGTAACGCTTTATTACATAAATTAACCATGTTATATTCCACAGCAGAAAGAGTTGAGATTATCGAAATACTGTTCGGAAATAATCAGTGCGCTAATAGAACAGCAGAAATATTTAATGAGTAACATGAGAACAGTAACGTGCATCGAAAATATGTTCTAGAACTTGTTGCTAAATTTCGGGAAACTGAGTCAGTCGCCAATAAAAACGCAACATTGAAAATCCCATAAGGAACGAAGCAATAGAAGTGGGGGTTTTAGGCCAAGTTTATGTAGATCCTACGTTAAGTACCCGCAAATTGGAGACTGTGTGTGGTGTTAGTCGACGTACTGTCCAACGGATTCTAAGGGCCCATAGTTTTCATCCGTTTAAAATTCTCCTGGTACAAGAACTTAATGAAGACGATCTTGATCGGCGATTACAATTTTGTGAAGATATGAGTGAACGAATTATAAACGATGAACATTTTCTATTCAACACTTGCTTTTCCGACGAATGTTCCTTTTTATTAAATGGCGTAGTAAATCGTCATAACTGCCCATATTGGTCCGATTCTAATCCCAGAATTTATCATGAGGTTCATACACAGCAGCCACAAAAATTAAATGTTTGGGCTGGTATTTTTGGCGATCATTTAGTTGGTCCTTTTTTCTTACCTGAACATTTGACCGGTGAAATGTATTTGTAATTACTGGTATTGATCTCCACTAATGATGATGTATTAGTTTTATTTAAGCTTTAAATCAATAAATCTTCAAAACTACTGAACTGAAGTACATTAATTTTATATCATTAGAAAGGGAATTGAAAGACCTTGAAAATCACTCGACCCCCCTTTCCATTTAAGATTTTGGGGGTGGTGTCACCCCAGCTTAGGGGGCTGCATGTTCTAACGTGATTTTTTGCACCTCGAAAACAAAAACGACGGGTCTAAGGATTTTTCAAAAAAAACTGAGCTGCCAGTAAATGCATCTGTTTCGTTTTCGATGCGCCGCCCTGTATGTATGGCCATTGGCCAGATTTGGGCAGTAGTAACTGTGGTTACTGTATGGATTTGTTTCACCAAAGTCGATTGAACTGAACTAGCGGTGTAACCATTGTACCTTTCGGTTATCTGTGAGTACGTCACTGTTTCATGTTGTGTGCTTTTCATCACAAAGCCTTGCGTTAAGCCGGCTGGTGAGCGGGTTTTGCATTATGCATCGCTCTGAAATATGGGTTATGGGATTTACGAATTTTACCGCCCGTGCCGCGAGCCGCTTCAGCATGCCATCATTGGGCTCAGCTATGGCAAAGTGGGAAATCATCGAGTGGTTGATCAGGTCCTTTTGCAGATATTGGAATTTTTCTATCAGGTATATGTGATTTTACTATCAGAGGACGATTAACTCCAGGGTAAAATAAAGACACGCCATTCTCTTATGGTATGAGTTTTGTGTGGAGATGACCCCCATCCTGTTGAAGATACATGCTTCTAATTTGCACGAAATAGTTCGAATTGCTGGTTGTTTTTAGGAAATCTACCATCTGGCAGGACTCCATCAAAGAAGAATGGGCCAACAATATAGGAGCCAAATATGGCCTGCACAGGCCACTGATATCTTATATCTTGATAATGTATCGGGAAGAAGTGGGGGTTTCTATCCAAGTAAAATTATGCCCGTTAACAATACATTTTGGTTGAGATTTTGTTCGATCTAATGGCAAAAATTACGTCTGTTCTGAAAATCGGTTTCCTCAAGGTCCTGGATGCAGTACGGATAACATTTACTCTTTTTAATTATTCTCCGGATTGAAGTCCTACTCAATTCTAGTGTACTGAAGTATGGATTTCGAATAAAGCGGTCAAAACATTGAATTCTGTTCCTTTATTGAGTACTGGCTTCAGTGCCACTAAGCATTCACAGAGACATGTGGTACCAGCAAAACGGCTGCCCGAGCATCGTGTCCGTTCAGTTAGAGAATCTATTGATATGGAATACCCGAGCAAATGGATAGGCCTTGTAGAATTTCGTGGTCAGCTCATTCACCTGACTTAAGTCCAATCGATTTTTTTACTGGGTAGCAGTGAATGGAAAAGTTTACTCAAAGCCAATCGAAAATTCAGCTGAGATACAGGATATAATAACGGAAGCAGCTGAATTTGTTGTTTTAAGAATAAGTAAGTAAAGCTTGCATTGCTGCTGAAGGAAGGCACTTTGTACATTTATTGTGAATTTAATAAACACATTCGCGAATTAATAAAAGTGGCGTTCTGCGTATTTCTCCTATTGTCACTACGTATAATGAAACAGCTAGGGGCAGGCGACACCAATATAAAAAACTCAGCATCCGTTATTGAAAAATGTATTGATTCCCAATATAATCAATATTTTTAATTGGATGGGATGTAAACTTAGATAAAAACTTGAAAAATTGCTCGCAGTCGCGTGTAAGTTTCATCGAAATAGGTTTGTCAAATGGCATAATTTCGACTACATTTAGAATGAAATACCACAGTTCTTTCGAGTTCATACTTGAAACAAATAATTAGATTATTATTATTTTGTTTTAATAGTTGTAAAAATTAATAGATAAGTTCCTGAATCATTAAAATTAATTTGCTAAAATAATTATAACTAATTTTTGTTGTTTTTATTATTTGTTCATTAACATACGTGTTTTTCAGTAATGATAGTTAGTGTTTTACCCTTGGAAAATTCTGCTACTTTCTACAATCTACTAGTGCCGAAAACTGAAAGATTTACAGCACAATAAGCAGTATATCTAGAACTGAAAGAAAACTCTCAGAAATGGGTACTAACAATACGTATAGATATCGTTAGAAAGGTGATCAAGTTTGGTATTCGGTGGTATGAAAAAAGTACGTGGTTCCAATTGAAAAAATCAAGTTACCTTAAAAGTTTACAAAATTATTACAGATTCTCCAGACGTAAAAAAACACCTTGTAATCGAACTCTCCTGTGTTTCATAACGTTTAACGTTTTTATTCAATTGTTGTCTTGCCTCTACTTTTTGCACAAGTGGCTAATTGTGGTTAAACAGTTAATTTTATATATACTAAGTGCGATACATAAAGTGACACTAAAATTGACTAACAAATCCAATTCAAAGTTAAACGCCATGGCGGTCCCATGGGACCGCTTGACAAAGGGTTTATCACGCCACGGCGCCAGTGGTCCGGACGGACCGCTTTGTATTTAATTTATTTTCACGGTGACTCCAGCCAAAGGTCCCCTTTGTTTCTTTTTGCGGATTTTGCCCATTATTTTCCTATTTTTTGTTCTATACCTTTCTCCGCATGATATTTTCTCTTTGTAGATCCTTTTGGCTTGAAGTACCACAGCAAGTGGCTATAGCAGGCCGCGTGGTTGTGGTTAGATGTCGCCTTGAAAATTCGAGGTCTTCTGGCCATTTTATACTACAATGTGTTGGTTGGCTCTTGTTGTGGACTTCGTGTGTGATTTCCTTCTTTTGCGAATTGTGACTCATTATTTTCCTATTTATTGTTATATACGTACTATAACATACTTGATATAAATTATTATATATAGGGGAAAAATGAAAGCTTCCGCTTTTGTTGAACTTCGACAAGAAGCAGCGTTTTTACGAACATTGAATGGACGCTCACATCAGATTGCTTAAAACGTAACGACTGAAAATGATTTAAATTGACTACTTCAGATAAGATTTCTTTGTTGTTTACGTATAGGATGAGGGAAACGTCCAGTAACATGGTGAGAGCTGGATAGATGTACAATGGTCAAAATTATATAAAATATGACAAGAACAAGTTAAAAACAGATTAAAAATTATTTAAAAACATTAAAGCATTACATCGTGAAGCCACTTGATGATTGCACAAAATGGTGGTCATGGAATAATGAGTGAGATGAACCCTTTGACAGAAGGCCGAAGGTTGTCAATGTCTGTGTAGAAGGATGGAACGAATTGTGGGCGTGTGCCAACATTGCCAAATCACTTCAGATGATGTGATTTTCAGAATGTTATGTAAGAAATTGTTAAACCGACCAGAGGCAGTTGAATAACCTATATTTTAATTAATGGGAAATTAAATTAACAATTATTATTAAATCGTGAGAAGAGAATTATTAGAATTTGAGTGGAATGAAATTTACTGGTGGAATCGACCAAGATACAGATTCTATTTATGGTTGTGAAGAGTCAAAATTTGGGGAGATACGTAAGTTCTCCAATTTTTCGCAGTTTAGCAAATATGAGTAAATGACACTCAGTTGTTTAACTTCTGTCTTTTTGTTGATACAGTTGTTATTCATGAAAATGTGGGACATTTCCAGGAATAAACGTTTGGAAAGGTGTTTTCTTTATCAAGAACTTTGATACTTGTGTAATTCATAGAATGCCCTGTTATGTTAACATGAGATGCTAGAGCGCATCTTTCAGGATGAAGCCTAGAATCACTTTTGTGTGATGTAATCCTTCCTTTAAGAGATCTGGAGGTCTGACCTATGTATATTTGGTTGCAGTTGTTGCAATGGATGGAGTAGACTGTGTTGGTTAAGCCAAGCAGCGGGACTTTGTCTTTCATTTTTGAAAAAATGCAGTTTATAGTGAGGACGGATTTGCAAGCAATTCGAAAGTTCAAAGGACTACACAATCTGATCAGCTTAGGGGCCGGTTCCTTGATATAGGGCAGGACAGCAAAACCAGGTCTGGTGTCCGGGTTGGTGCTTGTACTGTTTGGATTGATGCTATTGTTGGGAATTACATCAGTTCCGTTATTAGGGGTTGTGCGACTATTACCTGCATCATCAATAATGGTTATCCGAAGTGTCTGATTAACAAGATCTTATTTAGTTCACCTTCCAATATTTTGCCGAACTCTGATGATGCAGGTAATAGTCGCACAACCCCTAATAACGAAACTGATGCAATTCCCAACAATAGCATCAATCCAAACAGTACAAGCACCAACCCGGACTCCAGACCTGGTTTTGCTGTCCTGCCCTATATCAAGGAACTGACCCCTAAGCTGATCAGATTGTGTGCAGTCCTTTAAACTTTCGAATTGCTTGCAAATCCGTCCTCACTATAAACTGCATTTTTTCAAAAATGAAAGACAAAGTCCCGCTGCTTGGCTTAACCAACACAGTCTACTCCATCCATTGCAACAACTGCAACCAAATATACATAGGTCAGACCTCCAGATCTCTTAAAGGAAGGATTACATCACACAAAAGTGATTCTAGGCTTCATCCTGAAGGATGCGCTCTAGCATCTCATGTTAACACAACAGGGCATTCTATGAATTACACAATTTTCAAAGTTCTTGATAAAGAAAAACACCTTTATAAACGTTTATTCCTGGAAATGTCCCACATTTTCATGAATAACAACTGTATCAACAAAAAGACAGAAGTTAAACAACTGAGTATCATTTACTCATATTTGCTAAACTGCGAAAAATTGGAGAACTTACATATCTCCCCAAATTTTGACTCTTCACAACCATAAATAGAATCTGTATCTTGGTCGATTCCACCAGTAAATTTCATTCCACTCAAATTCTAATAATTCTCTTCTCACGATTTAATAATAATTGTTAATTTAATTTCCCATTAATTAAAATATAGTTTATTCAACTGCCTCTGGTCGGTTTAACAATTTCTTACATAACATTCTGAAAATCACATCATCTGAAGTCATTTGGCAATGTTGCCACACGCCCACAATTCGTTCCATCCTTCTACACAGACATTGACAACCTTCGGCCTTCTGTCAAAGGGTTCATCTCACTCATTATTCCATGACCACCATTTTGTGCAATCATCAAGTGGCTTCACGATGTAATGTTTTTAAATAATTTTTAATCTGTCTTTAACTTGTTTTTGTCATATTTTATACAATTTTGACTATTGTACCATCTATCCAGCTCTCACCATGTTACTGGACGTTTCCCTCATCCTATACGTAAACAACAATTAGCAACATCCTCACATACTACTGTAAGTTGAGTCAATTTAAATTCATTTTACACTATTGTTGCTACTGTTATCATTGTAATTGCAGCTCCTGGTGATGATGACAAAGTCCGTTAAAAGCTAGAGAGAATTAAAAAAGTATAAAGAGTCCTCTTTGCTTAAATTTTTGTCGAAGTACCCAACAAAAGGCGGAAGCTTTAATTTTTCACCTAACTGGTCTAGACGACAATGACCACGTCTCAAACTATATATATATATACTTAAAATAAATTATGATATAGGGATACAAAATGTAAGATAATTTCATTTATTTATGACTTGTCAAGAAGCAGTCAAGGAAAAAGTGGGAACAGTGAAATGGATCGCTCAGCGATTCTGAAGACGAACTGGAGTCTGAAAAAATTTTATTTTATAATTTCGCCGATGTAATATTTTTCTTGAGCCTACTATACTTCGAGGAAAGGTTTCATGCAAGTTGAACCAAACGTTTGGCACGTTAACTCATTTTATAATTGCACGTAAATGCACTAACTGGAAGCAACTACTATCAACCAGAGCATCAACGTCTACTCTACCGTGGTGAGCAATAAATTGATTTGTGCACGTAAAACAGGAACCAACAAGTCAAATCGGACCGCCAATCGGAACGCTATGGCGTGCTGGTCATATGTTTCCCGCAACGCCA